CCTATGCATTAGCGAATTATAATTACTAAGAAATAATTCCCAGCGCACTAATCTCGGAGATGACATCTGTGGAACCTGAATGTTCTCGCTCAATATTCCTAGAAGCGGCTTGTGGTCCGTAATGATGTCAAATTTCCGTTCATAGTAATAATTGTGAAACTTTTTAACTCCCGCAATTATTGCCAGAGCTTCCTTGTCCAATTGGCTGTACGTACCTGCGCTCTGTCTGGTTTAATGTTTTTGAATGAAACGCGATGGGAGCTTCCCTACCATCTTCTTCCATATGACTCAGTATTACACCAACTGCCCAAGGAGATGCATCGCACGAAAGTTTTAAAGTTTTCTTTGGGTCATAGCATTGAATAATAAATCTGATTATTCAATGGTCATAGTGAACCACCAATTGTTCCGACGAGAGCAACTCCTTGACCTTTTCAAATGCTTGTTGGTGTCTTCTTATCCACTTCCACGGAACGTTCTTGTCGGTGCCAAGCATCAGCAACATTCGCTTTATCTTTTAGGAATCCGTAGTAGAAATTTAACAATCCCAGAAATGATTGTAATTCCCGTTTGATATAGGCGCATTTTTAATATCTTGAACTTTGTCAACCGTAGGACGTACTCCCTTTGCGTTGATGAAAAATCCCAAAAATTCAATGCCCGTAGTCCTAAAAACACATTTGGATTTCTTTAGTTTCAGTCCATCTTCTGCGAATCGGCGTAAAATTTCTTCGATCCCTTCACACAGTTCCTCATCGTTTTCCGCGGCAACCAAAATGTCACCGAAGTATGGAAAACATCCCGGAATTGGGTATTATCAAAAGTTTTAAATCAAGCTAATTTTTGTTTTATTACACTAATAAACCAAAACCATCATAGTTCATTTGTGTTTAATGCTATTAATTATTATTAACAAATCAGCGAATAATTAAACAAATAAATTTGAATAATACGAGAGGGACGTTAAACGACTGCTCATAGGCGGTAAGCAAAGTGACGTAATCGCTCTCATAGCAACACATGTATCCAGTTACGCGTTTAAAAATTCAAAGGTTACAATCATCCCTCTTGCAAATGCCATCGTTAGCTTAGTTGTGTGCGTTTCAGATGTTGCATTAAGGCCAATTCTCACTGTACATAAGCCACGCGCGAAGTGGCCACTTCGCGACGCATCGCGGGGCAATTTCTAGGTTCAATTCTCACATAAATAGCGCAGCGCGGCTCAACAAATTGTCCCTTTGGGTCGGATCAGAGGGAACAAACTCTTTGGTTCAGTTCAATGCTTCATCGAGTAGTTCATCTAGTGATCATGAAATGCAATGGCGGTGGATGTTGAAGAAGACACAAATAAAGGAAAGAAGAGGACATACTGCGTTTTCTGAAGGCAAATTCCATTTATTGTACGAGTATTTACCGGAAGTGGACTACGCGTCCCCTATGTAAGAATTGGCCTTTATTCGTGTACGTGTGCTCCACATTTTGTTTTCTGAAAGTGTGGCCATCAGTGCTTATTCTTGTATTTTTTCTTCACGCGTTATAACACAAGGAAACGCATAACATGGCATCAGAAGGATTTGCAAAGGAATCCTCCAATAACCTGCCATCCATAGACATTTTCATGATGAACGATTTTAAGAGCCATCCACCGAATGATGGTGCAGCTACTTGCATCAGGCTAACAGTCAAAAATATGCGGAACTACCTCTGGGTTCATTTTTGTTATTCCGTTCATTAGTTTGAATCTAGTATAATTCGCCATATCTTGTACCTAACTGTAAAACTGTAAAATGTGACAATCAAGAAGTAAATATAAAACTTATCTACATAAATTGATTTTCACAACAGAAAAACCGTGATTTTGATTAGGCGCAATCCGCCTGGCAGCTTGAAACCATTTCCCTTTCTTTTCCCAGTTACTTGGAAACTGTTACGAATATTTTTTTTGGGAATACTAACGCTGGTGCTTTCAGATCACGGTACAAAACATGTTTTATTCTGTGTTGAACTCATTCCGCACGTTATTTATAGTATAAATACAACAAAATGCAACGTATACAACGAACCAAAGCAATCATCACGGAGAATTTCGCGCGCTTGACATGAGAGCGATGACGTCACAGTATGTTTGCGCGCCATCAAATAAATTCAAATTTCAAATCTATTTTTCCGCTAATATGCGGTGCATTTTGTTTTTTTAAGTGTTGTACACGATTATTACATTCAAACCCTTTTACTTGATGCACTTTTTGAAAAATGTGATAATACCCAATTCCTGCCAAACGATTGTTAATGAAACGTTGAAAGATCTGCGGTGCCACCTTGATTCCGAAACAGAGTCTGTGGACCGTATAGGTACCTCTCTGAGTGATTATGGTCTGTAACTTTGCTGAATCCTCATCCACTTTTAATTGTTGATATGCCTGAGCCATATCCAATTTTGCGATTACCTTAGCTCCATTCAACGCAGTTAAGATTTCTTGAGGAGACGTCATCGGGTACGGATCATCCTGAAGAGCCCGATTAAGTGTACATTTATAGTCGGCACAAATCCTAATAGTTCCATCTCTCTTTACTAGCGGCATTATCGGTGTCGCCCATGTAGGGTTATCACACGGCTTCAGAATTCCCTGTCCTATTCGTCTTTCAATTTCGGCATCAATTTTGGGCCGTAGAATAAAAGCCACATTACGCGCCTTTAAACGAATGGGTCGTATTGAACAAGTGCCACCATGCTCAGAAAAGCCCCGGAAAATATCTTAGACCATATAGTACATGGACTGTTAATTGTAACTAAAATATGGTCAAGGACATCGCCTGGGTATGTGCGTTTCAGGGTAAACGAGTCTGACCGAAGTTCTCCGATTAGATACGATTTGAGACAATCAACCTATAAATTAACAAACGTCAATTAATTAATCGCCTATAGTCTGTCTAAAATTGACGCGAAGTAATAAATTTACTTGATAGACAGAGACAGAGAAGCACTTCCATACAAAAATTAGTGCTAGTTTGCAATCAAGATCTGTCCCTACGAGAGTTTCTTGTACGAATAGTAGCTTATTCAAGTAAAACTACCGCTAAAACTATCCTTCCTTACCAATTACCACCGGCACAGTAGTATACGTTGTCTGTGCCACCGGTTACTGCCTAGTCGTCTATCATTAGCCCTTAGACCAGTGGTTCTCAAAGTGGGTGCCGCATGAGCTTCATAAGGATGCCGCGAAATTCTTAAATATTTACTTAATAAGCTTAAAATTACATAAATTAAAAAAGGAATTAAAATAATTATAAACAATTACAATTCTGTTTATTAGTTTAGTTTTATTTATTTATTTCTATGGTTCATAATTCATTAACATTACATCAGACTTTCTCAATAACTTATATTTGGGGTGCATATAGGGTCGTATGGGGAATGGAAAACGTCCTATTTTAGTTTTGATCCGTAACCATCTTCAAGGTTGTTGAGGGTGTCAAAATTTTAAGAGTCATAACGGCTTGAAAAAATTTTTTTAAATTTTTTTGGCTAAAATGGCTTAAAAAACTCAAAAAAATTCATTGCAATTTGTCTACAAAAAAGGTTTCTACAACTTTTGCGTCGGGAAAAGTAAAGTAAAGGCTAAATGTCATACTATGACCTTTGAATATTATATTCAAAGCTATGACCAAAGATAATTGCAATGACTATTAAAAGTAGTCGGAAAGACAAGTCAGGAGTTTACCTGACAATTAGTTTGAAATGCTTTTGTGTTTAGAAATTTTGTTGTAAAGACTTCTCATCCTTCATCTCTTTACTAACTATAAAAAAGCAAAAAAATAATAATACTAAGGATGCAGCGAATTTTGTTTAATAATTGTAGTGTGCCGCCAGACAAAAAAGTTTGAGAAACACTGCCTTAGACAATCGTGGACATGAGTTACGATTAGGTATACCTACGTCCTGCCCTGGAAAAGACTACTCCACACCAAGAACCAGAAAACGCAAGATACTGTTTTCATGTGTGTTCGTGTGTGTGAGGGAGGGTGCGTGGGTGTGTGTGTTGTGTGTGTGTGGGGGGGGGGGGGGGGTGCACGTGTAACAACTACGTATTGGCACTGAATAACGGTATTGGGCAGAGACTTGTTATACCTAGACCGCGCATACAATGCCACTCGCCTATAAAAGAGTGATGCCAACATGTTTAGGCAACACATCATACTCGTAATGGCAACGCGCGAACCAGTTTAGCAAGATCCTACATATAACCAGTCGAATTAACTAGAATCATTGCATTAAAATTTTATTCAATGGTACAATGAAATGTGTTTATCTACATAAAAATGTTTATTGGCTTTTAAACAATACTCATTTGTTGTATAAATGTCTAATTCTCACATCTACTTCGTTTATTTTCTTATTTTCGTAATTAATACGTATTGTAAAGAATACCTTCAGTATCAAGTTTATTCACTGCAGCATGCAGGACATGATTATGATATACCTATATGATGATGATATGATCTTGAAGTGCCAAAAACAAATTACATCCGTGGAGATTTCTGCGCGACGTACAACAAAGACGCCGACTAAACAAATTCATATCTCTGTTACACTATCGCAAAGATTGTTTCTCAAAATATTCTTGTGCTTTTCTGTTTTTTCCATTCCATATACATAACTATACCTAGATGTAAACTATCCGGTAAAAAATACCTTATACGAAAATTTACACTAGATTACATTTATTTCATTATTACCGTTTGTAAACTTTTCTGAGAACAGTATGTGTCTAGAAAGTGTGCGCTTTCGATTCAGCAACGAAATTTTAAAAAATACTGAAAAACTAGCCCAGTTCAGTGATATAATCCCAGCAAAAACAAATAGTGAAGATTGGAGCGCGAAAGTTCTTGCCTTTATGAGTTCGGTGGGTGGCCTACCATGTTGACAACTTTCAACTTGAGCTATGCGCGGTCTAGTTATAACAAGTCTCTGGTATTGGGTAGTAAGTTCAAATGATAACCGAAGATTATTGCGAGAATCTTCGATGATAAGGTATATGTTTATATTTATTTATAGTTTTACACATTTTGTTTAGTGTTAATTTGAATTCCTTTAAAAAAGTTGTACTACTTACAACAGGTAAGCACTCTTGCTCATAATAATCCATGAGCTATTCCATTAAGTTTACATGCATCACCATGGCTAACACCAGTTTTTCAAAAAGAGGAAAATGCGTTGAAAAATTATTCCGTTAGTTTTTACATCATTAGTGTATGTGCTCACGAAAATATAAAGCTTTTTTGTTGAAAAGATAATCATGTATCATATGCAGGGTGTGGTATGTTTTTATGGTAATCACACCTTAATTTTGAATCATAAATCCTTTTCAATCGGCAGGGCGTATTTCTGGTTATCAGCACTGAAAACGTACTTACTTATGTACAACACCTCTTGCTGAAACACAGATATTTGGTACCTATGTGATGCACAGATAGCACATGCGGTATAAAGTTATTGTTAAATAAGACATCACGTCACCTTGTGGTTTGTTGACAGTGTAAAGGCCGATTGTAAAGACGATGTCTAGTTCAACGACCCAAATAAAAAACCTCCTTGGCTAATTTTTGAATTTTAAGCAATCAATTTCGGTCGGTCGCCTGAACCAAAGATCATAACTACTTATGATTTTTGCCTGAACTGACGTTCACAATTAATAGTGGTGTAATGGGCAATAAATTCGGAATCATATCACATAGGTATAGCTAATTATGGATATAAATAATCCACACACAGATAACAGGTACTACAATGTCTAATTATTTCGAGTTGATGGCGTAACTATAATATATCTCGCTAAATGATAACCGATAACCCTTGGGATCAATAACATGAGGATTGATGTACGTCTATACATGCATCAAAGTTTGCATTTTATTGCATGATGTTACCCTTTCAGCAAATGAACATTGAAAAGGTTAACGAAACCCTAGTTAAAACTATCCTCCTTTCCAAATTAATGAGCACCGAATTGATGTTCGCTGCGGTCATTGGACAAATACACGTCTAGTACGTCAAAGGTAGTCAATCTGCAACTTGTTACATAAATAGCTATTTTCGATTCGGCATTAGTTTTACTTTTTGTGCGTTACATACAAAATTTCCTTAAGATCCCAACAAATAAAAAAATTGGAATTGCTTAAATAGAAAAGTTGGGTTGAGCATGCGCGATTTTTTAATCTGCACAGTTGCTTGAGATTTAAGGAATATTTACTAACACAGAAAATCGGACATTCATATGTTCTTGGTAACTAAGAATTATAAAAGAAACCCTTTTTTTGAAAGTTTGGACAGTTTTTGGGCTGTAACTTTTAGGCCCATTAGTCTACGTAGCCCAAAAACAATAGCGATCTTTTTTTATGTTTTATATGGTGTATCGACGTATCGTGCACACGAACAAGTGGACAGACAGACATACGGACAGACAGAGAGACAGACAGCAATACAAAATTATAAATAACTATCATACTTGAGGTTACATATATTAAAAATGCAAGGACTCATGGGTAACTTTGGGTCACAAAGTAACTCCAGATCCTGGGGTGAAATTGTGATACATTCAGTTTTTGAAATTTTTCAGTATGTTTTCTAAAATAAAAGTCACTGTATGATTCAGTCAATTAAGGACGGTTGACATTTCATTGTATAAATAGTTGGTACCTATTCGAGTGATTGGTCACGAAAATATCAATAACTGTCATAAAGTAACCTCATTTTATCGGTACGATTTTTTTGACAAAAATGTCCGGCAATTTGATCATTATGCAAAAAAAACTGTGTTGTATGGTGATTGTCAAAATGCCAAATGAAATGAGTATTTTTTAAAGAATTAGTTACTAAAACAACATCAGTAGGTATTATTAAGTAATGTATCTGTTTTTAGGATAAGTACAGACAAGAAGAATAGCTGCTGTCGTTAACTTACGAAATACGCAATGGACACGATGATCGTTGTTTTTTTTTTAATTTTCACCGCCACCGGAATCGTATGTGAAAAAGCGTTTCATTTTCCAAACGACTTTACCTTTGGAGTGGCAACCGCAGCTTATCAAATCGAAGGTGGTTGGAACGACGATGGTGACTATATTATTTTTTGTGTTGGGTAGGTAAATCTGTTTTAAATTTTAATTATAGGCAAGGGTGAAAACATTTGGGATAGAATTACCCATGAACGGCCGGAGTGGGTCAAAGATAAGCAAAACGGTAATATAGCTTGTGACTCATATTATTTATGGGAAACAGATATACGGCTGCTGAAACAGTTAGGTGTAAATTTTTATCGCTTTTCATTGTCTTGGTCGCGCATTCTTCCAACCGGAAAACCTAATAAGATTAATTGGAGCGGCGTTAAATATTACTCTGATCTCATAGACAAGCTACTAGCCAATAACATTAAACCTGTTGTTACTATTTACCATTTTGATTTGCCGCAATACTTGCAAGATATGGGGGGTTGGCCAAATGTATTAATAGCGTCATACTTTGAAGACTACGCCAGAGTGGCGTTTGAACAGTTTGGAGATCGCGTGAAAACCTGGATTACGATTAACGAACCCAGCGAAGTATGTGATTCCGGATATGGTACAGGTGGGGCAGCTCCTGGTTTCGAACAATCGGGAACATTAGATTACCTTTGTGGTAAAACTATTTTACTTGCCCATGCGAAGGCATTTCATCTCTACGATAAATACTTTCGTCGCCAGCAGAAAGGTACGTTATATATTGTATAATAATAAGTATGTACTTTCGCTTTTATGTTACACCCATTGAATAATTTCTGAAAGGTCGTACTCTTTTGTCTAACGACACATGTCTAAATGTTCATGTTCGTGTGTGTACAAAATATTATGAATAGGTATTGCAAACTTATTCTTGAGAAATGTATAGCAACTATTTTTTCTAAAGGAGAAATTGGAATAACTATTGTATCTCAATGGAGTGAACCTAAAACGGATTTTATAGAAGATAAAGAAGCTGCAGAAAGAAGAATTCAAATGCAAGTAAGTAATACAAAAGCAATGTTTTTCGATTTATGGCATTTTTATCCGTATCTTTTGTACTGAGATGACGCTTTTATTCGGTTTTGCAATATGGAGATTCTTTTTTCATAAATATACCTATAGGTACCTACATGAAGACGAAATGGACTGATTTTTATTTTAAGTTAATTCTCGTTGTAGGTACTAACGGTATGTTCTGCATTTGTGTATAAGATTCAGTCACATTTTGTCTAAAAGGGATCTGTTTGACTGTTTCTCGTTATTTTTTTTGGATTTGTACCCGGAAAGTAGTGTAAGTTGTAAATTGAGATCACTCTTTCAAATATATTTATCTATACGCTTCCCTACTTTGTGGTTTATAAATGTCGCAAGACAGACAACACAAAAATTCCATAGTCTAATCTAAATCTAAATTTAAAACTTTGCTATATCCAAAATATGGTTTTTCTTAATATTTTCAAAAAGCATATAATACAGAACCATATGAGTAGTGTAACGGTCCTCTGTTACAAAAAAATTTTGTTTGTATTAGTTTTAAATCAGGGCGTTGAGTGAAGGATTTAATTACTCAATGATCAGGGTTTAACCAATTTTATTGATGTTTTGGTTTTATATACCTACGGCTAGCTCAATGGGTTCCATCAGCCCTGTAATGTTTTACTAACGTTGAACTTAACGTGCAGGTTATCTGTAGAAAACGTTATTTTGCCCATACTAAATAACGCAAAATAACGTTTTTCGGCAGATGACGTGCACGTTATGTTTGGCGTTTCTGATACATCGCAGGGCTTATACGGCCCCCAAAAGATTAAGTTATGATTAACCGATTGTCAATAATAAAAAAACGTTCAATTAAATTGTTGAATTTGTGATAATATTGGGGGTCCCTGATCTGGCACTGCTATCTTGACTTACCCTATACTTACAGTCGGACGGACGTTTCGCGCCATTTCGTGGCTCGTGGTGTTACACTATGGCGATTCTTTTATGTGTTGGGACGTGAGACACAATCGATACCTAACGGTATTGAATAAAACCATCATAGACAAATGTCTATGAATAAAGAAGAAGTGTAAGAAAAGATAAGAAAAATATCCGCTATTACGCACGAAGTCCCTGCCCTGTTTCAGACCTAAACTCTATTATTATTATCTTGATATAATAATGTCAAATTTAAGTTAAGAAATTTTATTGGATAATTTTTGAATTTTAACCAATCAAATGTCTTTATTCCGTGTCAAAAGAAGTTAGGTTAAACTACCTTGGAGTTACAAAAAACATATTTTCAGTTTGGATGGTGGGCGCATCCCATTTTTTCTAACATCGGAGATTACCCCCCAATTATGAAAGATCGCGTAGGAAACTTAAGTCGATGTCAACATTTAAAAGAATCACGTTTGCCAATGTTTACTACCAAAGAAATAGGATACATTAAGGGTACTGCAGACTTTTTGGGACTTAATCACTACAGTACTTGGTTGATCAGTGATGACTCCGAAAAGAACTGCAGCACCGTGTCGTACGAAAACGATATAGGTGCGAAAAGTTTTCAAGATCCAAGTTGGGTGCCTTCGGCTGCCAATTGGCTAAAAGATGTGCCATGGGGATTTAGAAAGTTATTAAAATGGATTAAAATGGAATACAATAACCCGAGGATCTACATAACAGAAAATGGCTTTGCTGATCTTGGTGAACTACATGATGCTGCCCGAATTCATTATCATGCGGTAATAACAACAACATTTTAGAAAAGATGACAAAAACTGAACTTGCAGGGCTACTTGAACGAACTCTTGAATGCCATATATTTGGACGGCTGTAATGTTAAGTCCTACACTGTCTGGAGTTTGATAGACAATATGGAGTGGAAAGATGGTTACACGTAAGCATCAATTGGGCGTCTTAAATCGAAAAATTATGTTAATTTTCAGATTGAAATTTGGTCTTTATTACGTCAACTTTACTGATTCGGCGCGGACCAGGACACCTAAATCTTCTGCACATTTTTACAAGGAGGTGATGCGACTGAGGCAGGTTCCAATACATACCCCTCATTTGATAGTATTGTAAAAATATCAACTATTTCACTATTTAATTCTCAAAACCCTTACATAGGGAAATTGTCAAAAATGTAGTATTATTAGAAATTATTATATGGGGCACATATACGAACCCAAATTTGTTGCGTACATGATCAGTAAATAGGCCAAACTCGCTACCTATGTAGCTCTATCAAATTAGATAACGTTATTGTACGAATCAATACTCAAGAAATGTTGTGGATAGGCCTTGCCCCTTGGCCGTCCGTTGGGAGTGGGTATCTGGAGCATGGTTTCGTTCCGGATGTTCCATTTGGATGGTGCCGTTTCTACTTTTTGGTTGTTGGTTTTGGAGATATACTCATATACGTCTTCTATTCGGCGGAAGCGTATGCATGAGGAACGGCGTGATAAATCCGTGTCAGCGTGGATTGGATAGGATGTCTATAGTTGGCTTCGACTTCTTTACTACGTCGGTCGTCAACATAAGGAGTGAATGCGATTTGGTGGTCAGTTACTCCCAGATATTGAAATGTATAAGACCTTCCAATCTGTTGTTTTTCTGGATTATGGTTTGCGCTTTCTCGGGATTGATCTCCAATCGTCACCAATTCGTCTATCCGGCGGTGCCATTGAGGCTGGTTTGTAGTTTTTTTAGTGGTCATTTGTAGGGCTGGACTGGACCTACCAAACGGCCTGCGTCACTTGACAAGCCGTCACTGTTGAACTGGTCCAGTAGCGACGTCCATCCCCCTACTCCAGAGCGGAAGTCGCCCTCACCCAGTTCTCTTCAGTCAATCGTGTCGTTTCCCGTCTGATTAATGCGTTTAGTCTATTGAATTCACTCTTTTCTCTGTCTTTCTGGCGATTATGATGGGGTTTCGAAGGGGTGGTGATGGCCAATGCGTCGGAGATGGTGGTAGGGGTAGCGTGGTAGTGGTGCTATTAATTACATAAAATATGCAAGTATTTCTGAAATTGGAAGTAATTCTAAACAAGTAATACAAATAATAATTAAATAAAATGTTCACTAAAACACATTAAAATGTATGCAATTCACTTTGTTCCACTGATAATTTAAATAAAACGTAAGTGACAAAATATAAATTGGTCCATCGCCCTTGCAATTCTTTAATGCCGAATACGAGGCTGAATATCTCCTGAAGAGCCGTCTACTTGTTCAAATTTTCATACCAATGGTCCTTTTTATTAACAACTAGCTGCTCGACTCGGCTTCGCACGGATGTTTATAAATTTCGTATTCATAGTTACATGTTGGGATGGATGTGTATGATGTTGAGAAAAAATAATACCTTAAAATTTGCATTGAAACCCCTTTCCCAAATTATATTTGCACCAAAAAATGATGTCATTTGGAATACATATCAGTTATAATGTTGAATATTCTGCAAGAAATGCTTCGATAGAGGGTTTTGCCCCGAAAGAAGTAATGAATTCAGTGGTCAGGTGGCGTTGTAAGTTGCGGTAATTTGACCTTTCTATTGGCACAATATAATCCTGCTGGCTCTAGTCGAAACCTCAAAAGCGGAAGGAATTCTGTGGAGTATTGGACTCGATCATCAACTTTTTGAAGACACTCGGGTTTACATTAGAACCTAGAACTGACGTTTTCTTGTTCCCAAAAAATACTTGCCCCTTTTTGAGCACCGTTGGAAGATTTTTAATACAACGTTTTGTTTCGGAGAAATTATAACAAACTATACTTTTTTATATGGCCCGTGGAAAAAGTACACATTGTATCTAGTATAGCACTTTTGATTACGAATACAACTATATACGTCACACAAATAAAAACAAAAGTTGGAAATTGTTGGTTTCAACAGGATGGTGCATCTACGCACAACATCTTAATCGTGCAAGTATACGTATCTAACATTTTTTCTATTTTCCAGGAATTGATCCGATAGGAATGCTCGCAAGTTGTGCGCGGGTGCTGTCTTGTAGAGTTCCAAAAGTGGCAATGAGAAAGTATCTTTTGTCTTTCTTGTTGTATCTGTTCAAATAACACCAGCAAAAAATAAACATAAGATCAGCAAGTTTCAGTTTTTCTGTCATATCTTCGGAAGTAATCGGAATTTTTTGTTTTCTCTAAAGCGCGATAATAACGGTTTAATTGCGCATCTTTTCTCTAATTTGACCATCATCGTATCATCTATGGTTTCGATCTCCATGATAGACATCCTTATCTTGGACACTCTTCCAAGCGAGAGAAATCCCGTACCAATGAGTACTTCGTCGTACCTACTGTAGTTTATAGTAACTCTTAAATTACCTACCTATTTCTTAAACCTTTGGTAAATGTAATCCCTTTATGGCTTAATTGTATGGGGGGTCGTCCTCAAAGGCACAGGTTGGAATGAATTTTGTAGTCACGGCAAACCTTGCCCTATTTATAAATAGAATTTGCGGACATGTTTTTAAATCAGCTGCAGATGTAGGATAGGTAGGTACGAATTTATATTCTATATCTTGACGATTATTTTCGTAAATTAATTAGGCTATTCTTTGGTTTCATTTTTAAGAAAAGAGTGTCCTATTTGCTTGCCTTAGCTTAGAGCGTCACATGTTTCGATAACGCAAGCACAACAAAAAAAGAACTATCTAATTTGATCGCGTAAATAATTTTCGGCGATTCATTTTTATATACTTTCGCAGTCATTCGTCCTGCAATCGGATGAACAGTTTAGGGACGTACGTCTAACCCCCAAAGTTTAGTCGCAATCGGACAAACGGTTTTGCAGCTGGCAGTGGCATCATAAGAGACGGCCGAATACAATTTTATTTACTGACCTATATAAAAACCTTGAAATATGACCAATCATTACCCAAAGTTTCGTATCAATCGGATGAACGATTTAGGCAAGCATAAGGGACATACAAACATTCACTTTTATTTATACAGTGAGTTTTTTTTTTAATGCGAACATAGGAGTTTGCATGCAATGTAATTTCCCTATGTTCGATTTTAAAAAAAAAACACATCAATATATGAGATGTGCACGGTTCACATTCCCAAAACGGGCAATTTGTGTGACTATGAACAGCAACTCATAGTCTTTATGATGAAGAGCACTCGGTAAGATGTTTTTAAAGAAGCCATGTGAGGCCATAGCAACTTTAGGATAAATTTTTCTTAAACTTACGATAACTTGACTTCACATGGCACGCGCTGACATCACAATTCATTGTGAACCAACCTTCAATTATTTGTAGGTCATGTGCACCTGGTATTCTACTAATTTGATTTATTCAATACATAAATGAAGAAAATAAGAAAATAAATAACGCAAACAATTACAATAAATGTTCGAAGTGCCCTCCTTGACATTCTAAGCAATAACCTAACCGATTTCGTAATTAAATTGAACGGCGGTATTTTTAAAAATGTGACAGCTGTAAATTGTATCTACTACTCATTTGAACTACTCAATAGATTGATGTGTTTTTTTAAAAATCGAACATAGGGAAATTATATTGCATACAAACTCGTATGTTCGCATTTAAAAAAAATTCACTGATGTATATATATAAACGCGAGCACTACAAATTGTAAGTAAAAAAAACACTGCGTTGCGATGAAAACAAAACGATATTTCTTTGGACAATAATTTTTTCATTCATTTATTGGGAGTGTATGTTTGTCAGTGCCGGTTTAGGAACATTTTCTCCCCTAGGCACAGCCCTTTAAGCGCCCACCCGACACTTAAAAAAATCCTTTATTAAAAAATTAGTTATAATAGAAAATAAATTGAATAGTATTATTTGCGTTTTTAGATAACAAAAAATAATAATTTTCTAAAACTGAATCGAAAAAGGTATTTTTAAATAATAAAAAAGTCATAGTTCTCTAAAACATTTTTTTTCTAGCCTTTTGTGAAGCAAATTTATCCAAAATTTCCTCAACAATGCGGTCTAATTATATCATTATTCATGTGTAGAAATGCCAATTCTTTAAGTCTCACTCTGCGATTACGTAGGTATATCAATTTGATACAAAAATTGCAGCTTCTCAGTTTTCATATCCTGTTATATAGTAGGTAAATGTACACATTTCAAAATGAATGTGTAATTACTGTTAATCTTTGTCGTAAAAAACGAGGTAAAAAATGATCAACACTAAGGAATTAAATTTAAAAAGTCGTAAGCACATCGTTATGGGAATTTCCATTCAGTGTGCGTATACTGCTCATGGCGTACGATACCTGGTGGTGGCACTGGCGGCTGGCGCCCCTAAATGGTCGGCGCCCCTAAATGGTCGGCGCCCCTAGGCACGTGCCTACCGTGCCTAACCGGTAAACCGGCACTGTGTTTGTTAGGATAATTTTTCAAATATGTTAATGTTTTATTTAGGGGAGTGAAAGATCATTAAGCTATTTAAGTATAAATTGTAGCTTACATCACAGACAACAAATACTATGTCTGTGCTTAAATTATAGCTTTCGACCAAATCATACAAAATGCACACAAATGTATTGTTGCACTTGCCTGAATTGGCTGAGGGGGCCCTCAACTCTTGTACATTATTATTTACGCAGTAGGAGTTTTTCAATGCGCATTGGTTTTTAGAGGTTTTCAAATTTTGAAAACTATATGCTCACATGGAGAGTCGAAAGATGTTTTAACAACAGGAAGTGGATCTTTATCAGCTAAGTACACAAAATTTACCAAGAACCAAAAATTACACAAAACGGTAAGTCTCAGGAAAGTCAGTTTTTTTATTGCTAAAATAATCGTTTACATTGATATTATCTGCCTTGTGAAGCAGCTTGAGAGTTGAGACGATCATTATTACTAACTGTAAGTATGTATTATTAACTGAATACCTACACTAGTATCTATTTGAAAACTACAAAGCTGGAAATATTTCATATTATTATATTTAAGAAGGTACCATACGAGTTCGTATGACGTTCTTGTAAAACTCCACGGATGATTTGGCGACCCTTTTTCTTTTAGGATCAGTAAAATTTACTTGGTAAAGTCCAAACTTTAGCCTAAAATCAGTTTAAGTAATATAATGGGTGGTTTAAAATAGAAAAATAGGATAAAATATTACGTGAAGCCTTGTGCCCACTCCATGTTGTCCATCAAACTCCAAACGCAATAGGAGTAAACGTTGCACCCATCGATACGAACTGCTTTTACTAGTGCGTCTAAGTATCCCTGAAATTAAAATCAAACGATTTAGCCCAACAATGAATTGATTTATATGGTGAAGATAGTCTCCTGTAGTATCTTTTCCCTTGCGACATTATAACTATTATCCTTCTGTTAATTCAAGTAATCATGCAAAAAGTCGCATAAATTTAATGAAGGTATACAAAAAAAGCGTACGCTCTCGGATTTGAACATGGGTTGTCGCGATTTAAGCCAACGGTTGTAAAGGGGCTTTCAATTTGAGTAATAGTTTTTCAAATAGAGATTTCTCGGTTACTAATCCATATTTTTTTAATTTCTAGGTGTTACTATATTTAGTATAGTGTGCAGTTTCATGATGCAGCGTCTGACCTTTGTTGTTTTATTCAAAATTAAAATCCTATCATTCTTAATGAAAGACTCTTTACTAGTGGAGCGAAATTGGGCCTAAAAGTCGTCTAGAAATGGGAAAATAGTTATATATTATGCAAGGGAAAAAAGTATTAGATTTTAGCTCGAGAGAAAAAAAACGAGAGTTAAAATCTAACATTTTTTCCGTGTATAATACTCGTTCACTATTTTTTTCTGTGACGGGGAAAACGATATATTGAAGTCGTATCGATTTATAGAAATTTGAAGTTTTAAACTGCAGACAGGCTGTTGTACTTCTCGCCACAATACGAACTGCATTGCTAAGGAAACCTTCAGTTTTGTCATTTGATTTAAACATTTCGAATTTAATGATTGTTTAGTTATATTGAATGATATAAAGTTAAACATGTCTAATTCCGAATTTTCTCTGACTTCACCTGAGTTACTAGGAGCAGGGAAAGTGGCCTCACAAAAATTGAATATCTATCTTTACTTATGTATATACCTATATGCGAGTATATCCGGGAAAAAAACGTACTCACTTTTTTTCCCGGGAAAAAAAGTAATTTCATAAAAAGTGACATTTTGTTACCTACCAACAGAAATAAAATGTCAAATGTTTTTCCCGTCACAGAAAAAAATTTTGGAAGGTATAACAAGATCCTAGTAGAGTATGTAGATATTGTAATTCTGCATCCGACATTTTTTACGACATTTTCCGGTGGTCATGACATTTTTTATAGTAAAAAAAACCACTCAATAGTGCCTAAGTAAAAATTTATGTTTTTAGAGATTTACCCCGGAATATCTCGGCTCCCGCACGAGATATTGCTCTATACCTGTTTCAGTTCTATAATGCCAAATAATAAGCGCTCCTAACTATGCCTATTACTACTACAAATTGATAATATTTCTGAGTGGTGTAAACTAAATCACCTTTTCTTAAACATCGCAAAATGTAACATTATATCTTTCACTAAGAAAGTCAATTCCATTACTTTTAGTTATAACTTAGATAATCAGAGTCTGAGAAGGGTTGACTGCATTAAACGCCTTGGTGTTTACTTTGCCTCTAAATTGTCATTTAATTTGCACATAAGTAAACTTAAAAATGATGCTCTGCGATTACTTGGGTTTGTTATTAGGAATTCCAAAGCTTTTACTGATATAATGGTGATTAGGTCATTATAATTTGCGACAATTCGATCTAAGCTTGAGTATGCGTCATTAATATGGAGCCCACTGTATAATTGTGTATAAATTGTCTTTGGAATCTGTCCAAAGAAAATTTTGTAAATAACTAATACTTTAGAATGCATCGCACCTATCCCGATTTACACTGCGATCATGACGAACTATTGTTAGCAACGAATATGGACTCTCTAGAAAATCGTAGAATAAAAACGAGTATGTCTTTTCTCCATAATCTTATCCACAATAAAATCGATTGTCCTGATTCGTTACAATACCTGAACTTTTATGTTCCCCGTTTTGGTTAGCGTGGCAATGATACATTTTACTTACCTTACTGTAATTCTAATATTTTGAAGAATTCGCCATTTTATAGAATGTGTAAGTATTGTAACCTGTTTTCTAAAAACTATATCTTGTATTTGCCAAAGGTTCAATTTTTAGATTTTCATTGTTAATAATTAATATTATAAGAAATGTTAAATATTTTTTGTCTTTGTTATATAGTGTATTTTTAAATTTATTGTTATTCTACTCATATATTTAAATTTCTCTTTTTGTTACTGTACTTGCTTGCGTATTTGTTATATGGATTTTGTCCGTTTTTGGATACTTATCTGTTGGGCAAAATGTACGTCCGGGGAGCGTCCGGGCGGGTTTTCAATAGTAGTCCGGGTTTTGAAGTCGAGTGGGTGAATTAAAAATCTTTCTGTCAAAATTTAAACCAACAAGGTAAACTTTCAAGCGCAAATCGGCTTTGGTAACAATCTATTAAAACACCGAGTGCTCATTTATAGGTACTCGGAGTTATTGAAAATTGCGTACTACTTTTTTTGCATTCCTGCTCATAATGACAACGCTGAAAAAATATTTTCACTAGTGGCACAACAGTGAACAAAATAAAGGAATTTATTGAATATTGAAACAGTCTCGTCAGTGATAAAAATAAAGTACAATTTCAAAGATTATAATTGTGAGGATTTTTATAAAATTTTTATAAAAAAGACCAAATTTTTGTTTCATTTAAAAATTATTGTTATTAGCTTCTCATAACTTGTATTTTATTTTGTTAAAAAGGTATATTATTGCTTCATTTAAAGAATTTAAAAATGTAGATAAGACGTTGCTGATTCCTAACAGTTAAAGAAGATTTAATTTCGTGATAGAGTACGCCTTGTTTTATTTAGAAAAATTAATTATTTGTTTTATTTCTTTAGAAAATATTTTTTATCCAATTCAGGTGAGGGTCTACTTCAATGAAAAGTTAACATCTGCGAATAGGGCTATATTAAAGGAAACCAAATCACAAGCTAGAATGCGCAACTTTAAATTCGTATGGGTACGTGACGGCCGCATCCTCGTAAGAAAAGCAGATAACGAGCGTGTTTATAGAATCAAATCAATGAGTGATATCGCTAAATATTAAACGTGATAAAATGTGCGTGTTTATCTTGAAATACTTAGTGAACGATTTAGAATCTTAATCTTAATTTTACCTGTAAAATAATTGTTACTTACTTAAAATGGAACTTGATCATTTCAAATCTGATTTATTATTGATTTATACGTTTATATTTTTTGTTTTTTTTTGTTTTTATTGTTTCAATGTTTTTCATTATGTTATTACAAGTAGGTATAATTGAATATGTTACTGTAGAATTGCAATTTCTCACATTTGCTTGATTTTTAAGTTACAGACGTTTAAAGTATAATTTAATTGTAACGAGTAATTGAAATTTGTACTTGTTTTAAACTCGAAACACCTCTCTGGCATCGGAATAACTATGATATATATAAAATTTGAAAATGTATTCGTATATTGTTTTAAATGGGAACCGACAGATAAGTCTTTTGACTTCGTCGGACCTTACTATTGTGTATCTGAAATAAATTCAAATTCAAAAATTCAATTCAAAATTATTATTATTATTATCGGTGTTTCTTGTGAGAACTCAGGTCTAGCCTGGTTAACTAATCGCACGGATTAAAATCAAGTAACGATTAGTGTCTGTGTCTGGTGAAGTTATGTAGGGTCATTAAAAAAAAAAAAAAAAATCACACACGTACATTGGACATCTAGGGATAATGTAATTCGTACTTACCAACATACCTATTGATGGGCACAATAGCCAACGCTATCAGGAAAGAGGAAAACAAAACAAAAAAAATCATTATAATAATTCCTGTAATTTTATTAAATGGAGTTTATTGTGTAAGTGTTTCTTTGGCTTTGCGTTTGGGTTGAATACGAGTGGGTTGTGATAACGTGGTGTGCTTCTGTGAAGGAGTTTTGTGTTTTTTAATTGTATTTATGGTGTTTCTTTGTTCCTGAGGTCGTATTTGTGAGGTTGCTTGGGTTTTTGGTGGATATATTGCAGTATTTTGTGAGCCTGTGATGCTGTTAAGGTTTTTGAGCTTCGGTTGTATACGAGTGGGTTGTTTCTGAGAAGTAGAAGTATTGTGTTTTTTAACTGTGCTAGGGCGTGTAACTTTATTGGATGGACCTGTCTTTGTAGTACATGTTGCGTTACTTGTGTTTATGGTGTTTCTTTGTTCTTGAGGTTGTATTTGTGAGGTTGCTTGGGTTATTGATGGAGATATTACAGTATTTTGTGAGCTAGTAGTGCTGTATAGGTTTTTGCGTTTGGGTTGAATACGAGTGGGTTGTGATAACGTGGTGTGCTTCGGTGAAGAAGGAGTTATGTGTTTTTTAATTGTGCTAGGGCGTGTAACTTTATTGGGTGGACCTGTCTTTGTAGTGCATGTTGCGTTACTTGTATTTATGATGTTTCTTTGTTCTTGAGGTTGTATTTGTGAAGTTGCTTGGGTTTTAGGTGGAGATATTTTAGTATGTTGTGAGCCTGTAGTTCTGTTAAGGTTTTTGCGTTGCGGTTGAATACGAGTGGGTTGTGAAAATGTGGTGTGTTTCTGTGAAGAAGGAGTTATGTGTTTTTTAACTGTGCTAGGGCGTGTAATTTTATTGGGTGGACCTGTCTTTGTAGTGCATGTTGCGTTAGTTGTATTTATGGTGTTTCTTTGTTCTTGAGGTTGTATTTGAGAGGTTGCTTGGGTTTTTGCTGGAGATATTTTAGTATGTTGATTATTATTATTATTATTATTATTATTATATCGAAAACATGATATAGCTACATTATCATAATTGTCATCAAAGTCGATGAATCGATTATTGAGAAGCGTAAACTTGACTCTGCGAAAAACTTTTTTTTCTACAACTGTTAAAAAATCCTGTCATTTTCTGACGAATTTTGAAACACGAAGTACTTAGGTACTAGATTTTTAAACGGTTAATTAACAAGTAAGGTTGCTCTTGACAACTTGCGCGAAACCGTCAACAATGAAAACAAGTACAAATTGTGCACAACCCTTGCGCAGGCAAAGCGCATTTTTTTAAACACCCCTACGAAAATTTTTTCTTCCATAAATAAGAAAGTTGGCACTGCACATCCTACATAAAACCAAATTTGGAAAATGGCGCTACTTTGCTTTTATTCCAAGTGGCTATGTCCAAATTTCATTTAAATCCCTCCATAAATAAGAAAGTTGGCACTGCGCATGCGCAAAACGAAATTTTGAAACTGGCGTTAGATTTGGTTTTATTCCAAATGGCTATATATCAAATTTTATTTAAATGCCCAACGGTTATATTTCTTCCAAACGTCCCAATCGCCCTTTGTAGGTACTTTCCTTTGACAATTCACGCTTAAGATATAAGGAATTATAACCGAACCCGACAAGGGTTCGAGGATAGGACTATGGTTAGTATAAATTAATTCCTTTTGTTTAGACCTTTCATTAGAGTACCATGAAGGATAAAACTAGTTCCACTCCCCCCCTTCCCCCTCCACCCCGTACTTTAATAAGAGGACAGAAAGAAAGGCAGTAGTTTGTAGAAAACTATTCCTTTCGTTGAGACCTTTAATTACAATTCTATGAAAGATAAAATTAATTTTTAACCCCCCTCAGCCCCGTGGCCTACTGATCGAAAAAGTTCAACACGGTAGAAGTGGGTCCGGACGGACGGACGGACAAAACGCAAACAATAGCACATTTTTTTTAATTCTTAAAAAATGCGCAAGTATTTCGCACACATGACAAAGTTGAACTTGAACAGCAAATTTAATTAACAATCGGTTCAGTTGTAGAAAAAATATTGTATTGTATATTAACGCTAGCGCGAAGTTATTTCGCGCATTTGACTGATATTTTGTCAATGCCCGAAATTGATCTTCGCGCTCTTGTTATATAAATAACTATTATTATTTGAGGAATCTCTATCGTACGAATTGTAGTTGATAGTCACCAAAAGTTTTTAGTGAAATAATTTTAGTGATAGGTCTTACCGTTTTCGATTAAATCATACTAGAAATGATATTTCTATATGCAGCTCGTGCGCGTCCGCGGTCCGCCTAGCAGCGCTATCGGCGCCGGCCGGACACCCGGCTTGTCACCTGTAGCGGAGCCAAATCATGCCAAAAACTATAATGCCAAATGGTAAGCACAGCTGATCTGCATATTATATTGAAAACATAATGTAACTACATTATCAGAAAAAAATAGAAAGTCGATAAATTGTGTAACATAAACTTCACTTTGCAGCAAATTTTTGTGATTTGTTTAATTTAAAGCAGTTTTGAAGTCGATAATGCCTTATTTCTGGTCTATGTTTAATTATCCAATTAGGTCATATTTTAAAAAAAAACAGCCTATTTTAATATCATTTCTTCAAGAAAATCAAACTTTTAACTGGTGAAGTATATATACGTATATGTACCTATCTGTGTTGAAATGGTAACAAAATATATATAGGTAATAAAAACTTGTTTGTTGTATTTTGATTTGATTTATAAAAGCGTCGTAATACCTTAAGATAATTAATTCTGTCCACATCGTTAAGTTGTCCCAAGTCACCGAATCCATTCTCTGTAACAAACACGGGAGGATTACCATATTCCTTTTTTATCCAATTTAATAACTTGCGAAACCCCCAAGGAACATCGTAGATAAATGATGCTGCAGTTGGTCTCCACGTTGGATCTACTTCTAACTTTACATGCACATCGTTATCAAACGACACAGTTACATTGTTGGGTAATGGAGAATAACTCGCTAGGAGTGTGCTGTAGTGATTAATACCAAAAAAATCAGCAGTTCCTTGTATCATTTTTATTTCGTCTCTATGAAAATTTGGCAAACGAGATTTAAAAAAATTTTGGGATTTACTGATGTTTGCAATACGATCCTTCATTTCTTGAGGGTAATCTCCGGTTTTAGAAAAGATTGGATTAGCCCACCAACCGAGCTAAAGTATGATCTGTTACGACTTCTCGCAAAACTGGGTCAGAATATTTACCGTCATTTTTAAGACCAGTTCTGCCGCCTCTAGGTCTTCAAGTTTGTTTGTTTTGGGTTCGATCCAAGCAGTGTTAGTTGTTATTCCAACGTGTCCTGGAACAAAGTGTGCATTTTTCCGTTACTATTAAAATTAGCAGTATTATTCTCACCCTTTTGCTTAGACCGATAATAGTAGCCGTACAAGTGATAAACCTTAGCATGAGCGATCAATAGAGTTTTACCGCAAAGATAATCAGATATACCAGAAGAACTTATGCGAGGCGCCTTATCGCCTCCACCATATCCGCTCTGGCATACCTCAAATGGTTCATTAAATGTAATCCATGTCTTGACACGGTCACCAAACAAGTTAAACACTGTATTAGCATAGTCAACAAAATAATTAGCGGTTACTATATTAGGCCACCCGCCTTCATTTTGAATAGGTTGAGGAAGGTCCCAGTGATAAAGTGTGACTACCGGCTGAATGTTGTTCCCCAATAATTCATTTATAATGCTATTGTAATAACGAACACCATCTGGATTAATGTAATTTGAAAAACCAGTAGGCAGTAATCGTGACCACGACAGCGAAAACCGATAAAAATCTACAGACAAATTTTTTATCATGCCTATGTCAGTTTTCCATTGGTTGTATGAATCACATGCGACGTCGCCATTTGATCTATCTGCTATCCAGTTTGGGTGTTCATGTGTCATGCGATCCCAAATGTTTTCTCCTTTATCTACAACATCAAAATGTGTGCGTTATTTTCGTTACTAATTGTTTATCTACCGCTAGCATTCCAGCCACCTTCTATTTGATAGGATGCAGTCGACACTCCAAATGTGAAATTGTCCGGAAAGTGTAAGGAATCAGCGTAACTCAGTGAAACTGATGCAATGAGAATAAACCACATGTCTGTTGATCTGAAAATATCTGACATGAAATAGATTCTCTAAAATTAATCAATGGTAGCATCCTTATTATATATTATAATATTATATAATATAAATAATATAAAGCGCATTTTTGGTAGTACAGATCAAAGATTATTTTATTTCCAAGGTTACCTGGTAACTATGTGGGCGGAAGCGGGAGGGACAGACGGACGTCATCCAGAATACACAAATTGACGTTCACCGTTGTTTGTAGTCGCCCGGTTTATTTTTGTTTAAAATTTGCTGAATTTTGAAGTGCGTAAGGACATATATTAGCTGTAGATACCTGTTTGGTGCAATATAAAGACATTTAGTTTGTGAATTGTGGGAGTTTTCATAGCCGCGATTGAACGGTTCATCAATTATATGCACATTTCTAAGTTGTAATTAACTATTAAGTATTTTTTTAGACGAGAGGAAAGTGCCCTAATATCGCACCCTTTTTTTCTGGGACTTATATCACGGAAGAGAAATATTTTAGAGATGCAATGTGGGGCTCAAAATATATTGTGATGAGCAATAAAACAACATCTGGTATCAAAAATATATTTTTTCCAACTTGAAACTTTTCGTAACAAAAAATACACAAAATGTCACTTTTTGTTGCCACTGAATATGGTATCCTTTTTTTTTTAATCTCCCAGTTTTATTTACAATCTGTCCTAGAACATTAAGTAAATGTAATAGCAACAATAATGCTTTAACACAATAATGCATTAATAACATGTAGGCAGTCTTCCATTAAATCGTGCCTCTAATAATTAACATCTTATTTATCGACTTATTCTATTCAGTTTCACATTTCAGTTAATTTCGGTTCACTATGTCTGATGGCTTGTACCTCTTTATTCTGCGCGTATCATTGGATTCGTTAACTAGCCTACGCACTAATCGATTTGGATGCACTGCAAGTTTTTCACTGTACTTCGCACTACATTTACGCGCTTCTAATTCCTTCACTGTAGAAATCTTTAAGTCTCTTCTAATTATTGCGTTGGTCACAAACCACGGGGCGTTGACCATAGAGAGCAGGGCTTTTGCTTGGAATCTCTCCAAGATTTCGATATTGGAGGCTGATGCGGAGCCCCAGAGTTGAATACCAATACTCCAAATTGGCTTTAGAGTCGCCTTATACAGAAGAACTTTGTTTTCCAAGCTTAGTGGTGACCGTCGTCCTATGAGCCAATACATCGTCTTGAGTTTCAGGTTCAGCTGTTTCCATTTCGCTTCAATATGTTTTCTCCAGGTCATCCCTCGATCCAGGTGGACTCCTAGATATTTCGCTTTGGTGTCTTGGGGTATTTGTTGGTTATTTAGGGTTATTGGTGGGCAACTGTCTCGTTTCATTGTAAACGTCACATGTGTCGTTGACTTTTATTCTCCATGTTCGTAGCCAGCTCTGGATTTTATTTATGTGACTCTGAAAAATAGCTGATGCTCTTCCCGGGTCTTTATGCGATGCCATCACAGTCGTATCGTCCGCAAATGTTGCTATGGTTGTAGTTGAGGATACCGGTAGATCTGCTGTGTAAAGAAGGTACAAGACTGGTCCAAGAACGCTTCCCTGTGGGACGCCAGACTGTATGGGTGATAGTTTTGTGCATTCATCCTGTTGCTTTACGTAGAACTGTCTGTCACTTAAATAAGATTTCAATAATCTATATATGTTGTGTGATAACTGGCGTTTGATTTTGTACAGCAAGCCCTGGGTGCCACACTTTGTCGAACGCCTGGGATATGTCTAGAAACACCGCTGAACAGTATCGCTTTTCTTCTAGGTCCAGGTTTATTTGACGCACTACTCTGTGTACCTGCTCTATCGTTCCATGCCGTTCCCTAAAGCCACACTGATGTTCTGGTATTAGTTGTTTTTGGTGCAACATTGGAGTTATTCTTTTTAGTATCAATTTCTCGAATACCTTGGACAGGACGGGCAGCAAACTAATTGGTCGATAGGAGCTCACGTTTTCGGGGATTTTACCCGGTTTTGGTATTAGTATAATTTCTGCTACTTTCCATGATATCGGGAAGTATTCTAGTCGTAGTGCTGCATTAAATAGCGCAGTGATTGTTTTAACAATGTTTTCTGGTAGTTCTTTAAGGATTTTACCAGTTATAAGATCCCAGCCTGGCGCCTTTCTCTGATTGAGATTTTTGTTGATTATATATTAGACCTCCTATACTTTGAACTTTTTTATTGGCAGTTCCATTTGCAGGGGCGAGTCAATATAATTGTGTATGGCATCTTCTTCCTCCTTTGGTGCCTCGCTAGGAAAAGGTGTAAATGTGTTCTCTAAGTGCTCTGCAAAAGCTTGCGCTTTTTCCTTGTTCGTTCGAGCCCATTCGTTGTTTTCTAGTTTTAGCGGTGGATTACGTTGTTGTGGTTTTTTAATATTTTTTGTCGCTTTCCATAGCGAATAATCGGTGTCAAGCGTTGGTGAGAGGCTCTGTAAGTATCTGTTGATAGCTGTGTTTCTTTCCTCCTCGAGGATCTCCTTCACTTCCTTCACAGCCTTGTTGAGTTTGGTTTTATCATGTGGTGATCTTATTTGTTGCCATTGCTTCCTCAGTTTACGTTTTTCCATTATTTTTTGTTTGACGTTAGCAGAGCAGTGGTTTGGGGAGTCCGTTTCTTTTTCTGATGGTGTCGCTGCCCAAGCTGCCTCCTGGTTGAAGTGGTTTAAATTATCAATTGCTACTTCTAACTCAGTTGTTGTTTTGAGTAGCGGATCGTAGTGGATATTACTTAGTAAGTTTTTAAAAACAGTTTTTTTGGTGTGGAGTTTTGGGTGGTCTTGTTTTTTGTATAGCGTTTGTACTTAAGGTCACGAGTACAGGTGGTGGTCAGATGACAGATCAAAGCATGAATGGATGGTCAAGTGAGAACTAGCTATGGATTTGAACACAAAAGTCTATAAGATCGGGGGTTCTTCGTCTGTCCAAAGGCTAGTAAGTCGGCTCGCCAGTCGGAAGCGGTATTAAATTGTTAGCTAGCATTACTAGGTAGAGTTGCTTGCCTTTTGGTGTTGGCACGTTCGATCAGGAGCCCCACCACGGATGCTTGGCATTGTAGTCGCCCCGGCGATAAATCTATTACCTAAGGTTTTAAAGAACTGGGTGTACTGCTCTTCTTTTATGTTGTGTTTAGGTGTAAATAGCTGACATAGTTATAGCATTGAATTTATAACTATCAGAAGCGCGGATCCCATATAACAGTTTGTGACCATGTGCCAACTGGCCGCCGCTAGGAGCAGTTCGATCGTTTGAAAGTCCGTGGGCGATCGAAAGTGGAGCGTTACATTGACATTAGATGGCAGCATTACAAACCATTTATTTTGACCATTCGAATATTTTCCTTTTTAATCGTTAGATGTCAGGAACTCGGGATGTTTTTTGTGTTATCATTGGAATGGTTTTATAAATAGGATTGGAATGTTCTAAAAATAGATCCCTTAAGAAGCATTGCGTAAATTTGTAATGTAAATAATAATACATTTACACGAACGGAAGCTTGCAGTCCTTGTCCTTGAAGGAATGCAATTTCATACATTCTATTCACAGGCAGTAAAATAGGCAGGTTCCACATTTTTACTGAAAGCGGGAGATTTTGTTATTAAAAAACGACCAAAAAAAATTTTAAGGCAAAATATTGTCCGTTGCAAGCAGGCAGCTACATCATTTCCACATTCACATTTGATAACTAAATTTCGCGAATCAGCTTTTTTTATAACCATGCAGCATTGTGCACAAATAAATTGGTCCCAGTTTACGTGAATTCGTATACCTACTAGAGCTGAGCGATACATGAAATTGTTATCGATTTATCGATAAGTCTGTTCAGTCTGATAATTATCGATTAATCATTAATTGATAACTGTCGATAATTATCGATAACTTTAATCTCTTATCGTTAACTTTCGATAATAATCGACAATTATCGATAAATCGTAAGGCTAATTTTTGATAATGATCGATAACGTTTGATAATTATCGATAACTTTTTATATTTATCGATAAGTTTTGAAAATAATTAATAATGATTGTTAGCTGCTGATAATAATCGATTATTATTGCCACGAAAATTGTCTATCTCTGATATTTATCGATTAATAAATAAGTAGCGGAAATTATCAAGAGAAAACTATCGATACTTTTTCATAAATCTCATCGATATATATTCTCAATCGATATATTACATCATCCATGCGTACACTCGCTAACATTTTTGTTTTTTTTTGGTATTGATATTGCGAGAGATAATTTAAATAAAACAGGATCTTTTGATGCTCAAGTTGTCTGAAATCAAAGGTGATCAAGTGGACGATAATTCTCAAAAATGAGTACAGCAGTAGGTTGTGAATTGTGATCATATGGCAACTCAACAATGCTCTTACATCGCTTTTGTTGGAAGTAAACTGGTATACCTAAACATTGAAAAGTTTATGTCGTTAAAAATTCTCTCGATAATTATCTATCTTAATAGTTTATAGTTGTCAGATTAATCGATAGATTATCGGTAATTATAGGTTTATCGACCAATCCTTTAACATTTTCGATAAATTACACCGGTCTACAGCATTTTTGCGCATGGGACATATATACCTTATTTTTATTGCTTCTATAGCCACAAATAAGAATTTGAACAAAAAATGGTTATGTATTTGTTTTTGTGTGAAAAAAATGCAAAAAACCAAAAAATAAAAATACCTATAGAATCCTACTTACATAGGCATGATTTATTAAATGGTAACGTTTCTACATTTATAATTTGTTTATCTTAGAGTCTAAATGTTTAAAAATGGAACAGTTTTGCTGTTTTTGTCATGTTCAACTAAATCTGATCTTCCATCATGCTTCCAACTTCCTGGCCTTGGGAAGGTGCCTAAGTTCCATTGTCTCGAGAAAGTGTTGTCCTTATTCCGAATAAGCTCCCATATTATCCTTAAATTGATCTAAATGAGAATGTAACCTGTGCATCTTTATT